TTCTGTGGCATTTCATGTGTCTTATCTGATATGTAGACACATAAAGGGAGCTGGTTTTGTTACTCCAATACTGTGTTGTATTTATTACTCCAACTTGAAAATACTTTTATTTGGATTTTCAAACGTGTAATTTTTAGCATGTTTTATTAGTGAGGGAGCAATAAAGGAACAATTTTGCAGCTAAGTTGACACTTATAAATCTCCCTGTTTGAAATGGCCACAGAAGACCACAGGTCTGCTCATGTTTTAAAGACTATTAAATGTACATACTTCTAAAGTGTCCTATATTTAAATTTCTCTTATTCTATGAAATATTTATGTGTTCATTGTTTATACTTTTATTTTTAAAAAGTGCCTGATTCTGAATAGATTTATTATGTGAAAGTGTTTATTATTTTTAAATAGCTATATTTGACAAGCCGTATAAAAGCCTGATAATTACAAATCAATAATTACAATCAACCTGAAAACTAAATGTTAAACAGATACTGAACAATTTATTTGAAAACTTATGTCTACACAAAACCTGCATACAAATGTTTATAGCACCTTTAGTCATAATTGCAAAAACTGTAAGCAACCACGATGACCTTCAACAACTGAAAGGATTTAAAAAACAACAACTGTGGTATATCTCTACCATGGAATATTAGTCAGTGATAAAAAACAAATAAATTATCAAGCCATGAACAATACATGGATCACTCTTAAATATATATTTGCTGAGTGAAAGAAGCCCGTCTATACAAGCTCATTACTATATGGTTTCAACTATATGACCATTTGGGAAAGGTAAAACCATAGGAATGGTTAAAAAGATCAGTGGTTACTAGGCGTTTCAGATAGGCGGAGGGCTGAATAGGTGAAGCACAGGAGATATTTTAAGGCAGTGAGACTATTATGTATCATAATGTAATGATGGATACATGAATGGTGGTGGATGCATTTGCCAAAACCCCACAGACCTTCACTGCACAAAGACTGGAACTTAATGCATTATATATATATTATATATATATATGTATATATATATTTTTTGAAGAGGTTGGATGTTACAGGATGGAATGCAGAATGTGACAAAAAAATCTAACTATATTACAAATGAATGAAACCACCTCACTGAAGAATGTGGTGGAGAGAAAGGTGCTGACCTAAATAACTTTGGAGATAGAGTCTATAAAACTGAAGCCAGAAAGCACTGTATATAAACACTGGACTCCAGTTGATAAAGTTATTGATTACAGAATATGACCTAGCATTTCTGATACTGCTGTACATGTATACAGGATTGAACAACTGAAGAATGACAGATGGTAGGAGACAGGTCTCTAACTGTTGGAGTGCGAGGTTACAGATAAGAAAGGGGAGGAGGCTAGAACATTTCATGTAGCAATGGATTAGAGTTGGAGACAGTACAAACTCATGTTTAGCTTGATATAGATGTAAACGGCTACACAGAGAAATATGGATAGACCTGTGTACCTATATACAGATTAGTACACACATATATATTTCCTTGCTCTGTCAGCTGAGAGGACCTAGACGTTGTGACACAGCAGTAGCAATGAGCCTATCTAGTGCCTGGATCTTGGTTTCTAATCCGCTCTCCAACCAAAGGAACCAGGGTTGCTTGGAGAAATGGTTGATTCTAGCACTGGGACAGGAAATGTACAAGACAAGACCGGAGCAACCTGTAGTGCCAGAAAGTAAGGAAGTGTTGGGAAACAAACAAACAAAAACACCTGATGAGGGTATTTACAGAAAGAACCAGGAGACAACCAAAAGAGCTCCTTGTGGCTACAGCTGGAACAGTTTGAGCAACAACAAAAAAACCTTTTTAAGTAATATTGGATTACAATCCAAAGTATAAAATAAATACCCATGAGTTCATACTGATGTAAATAAATAAGTGAGGGAGAATAGACAAATCTCACAGGCAGGATAATTTAAGAAAATGTCTGCAGTCTGCCCTCAAGGAGGTGAAGCATAACCCTCCTCTCCAAAGTGTGAGCTGCACACAATTACTTCTTTCCAAAAAGTGCTATATGGAAATGGAGAGAAAAAGGCAACTTTATAGTGGAGAAACCTAATAAATACCGCCTCAGCCAGGTAAGCAAGGTTCCTGTTATCATTGATAAGTCATGTTCATTGTAGATACCCTTGATATAATATGATGAAAATAGCAATTTATCTGTGGGGTCTTTTCCTCCAAAATACATAATCTAAGTCGAATCATAAGATAAATATTAGAGCCCTGGCCAGTTTGGCTCAGCAGTTAAAGCATTGGCCCTCCGACCAAAGGGTCATGGGTTTAATTTTCCATCAATGGCATGTACCTGGCTTGCAGGTTTGATTCCGGCCCTGGTGGGAGTCATGGGAGAGGCAACCAATCTATGTGTTTCTCTAACATTGATGTTTCTCTCTCTCCCTCTCTGCCTTCTACTATATCTAAAAATCAATGGAAAATATCTTTGGGTGAGTATTAACATAACAAAACAAAACAAAAAAGATAAATATTAGACAAATTTCAATTGATAGACTTTCTACAAAACACCTAACCAGTATTCCTCAAAACTTGTCAAGGTCATCCAAAACTAGGAAAGTATAAGAAACCATCACAGCCAAGAGAAGCCTAAAGAGACAACAAGTAAATATAAGGTGGTGTCCTGCAGGGCATCCTTGCACAGAAAAAAGGACAGTCATTTCTTAGTAAAAACTAAGAAAATTAATAAATAATTATGGACTTTAGTTAATAATGTATCAATATTGATTAATTAACAAATATACCACGTTCATGTAAGATGTAACTAATAAAAGAAACTGGGTGTACCGTTAGCATTTTTTTTCCAATTGAAAAACTATTCTAACATTTAAAAAATTATTTAAAAAATGATATTGAGAATCATATACTAATAGAGAGTGGCACATGAAAGAAATATAAAAATTATCAATTAAACCCTTTATTTACAAGGAGAAGACTCAGAACTCGTAGTAGGATTCAGTAGCCTGCACTTTGGAGATGGTCTTGAGAAAACAGTGATAGTCTAGCTGCTGAACTACATCCTCAGTGACACTAAACATCAAGCATAGTACACAGTAGACACACAAGAAATAGTTATTGAATGGTAACTAATTCCCCCAAACAAATCCTCTATCCAAGTATTCATCCTTTTGCTCACTTATTTATTAACTCATTTATTCATGTAAATACTTACTGAGTGTCTGGCACTACAATTTCACTTCTAGAATTACAATCACTTAGACACTCTATCCAAATGACTGACATTTTGGCAATTTTCCATATCTGACTTTGTGGGAAACTCTGTTTAGCTGATTCAAGACTATAAGTGTCCAAGGAAGAATTGCTTTAAGCCAGTAGTAACAGAAAATAGATAGAGGAGACACATCAAGGGAGTGATGACTCTAAGAGGCACAGAGAATGCAGTTTATGATCCAATTACACTCAAATTATGGGCTACAACCTTTTTGAACAGTATTGCTATTTTAGATTCTCTGCTCTTATATTACCGCTTTCACTATTTATTGAGGCAATAAGCTAAGAGCATAGGTTTATTTTGCTTTCCAGTTTCAGCTTCACAGTTTTGGCCAAGTTGCCTAATCTTTTTGAGCCTCAGTTCCCCCATCTGACAAATTACTTCATAAAAGAATGTTGCTTGCATGAAATAAGCCAACGTTTCTAAAGTGTTTAGCACACTTGGCAATGACATTATTATTACTACTATCAATACTGTTATTGTTATCATTACCAACCAACCAGATGCTTGTACCTGTGAAAAAACTTCGGGAAACTTAGGGCAATAACTCAGGATCTGCAGAACACACGTTGGCACTCTTAATAGTGCTTTTGATCTTTCTAGGTTTGATAAGTTGGTCCTTTCCAACAAACCACAAAATTTTTGTTGGGATCTGGGCTATGATTCTATTTACTATAGAATGCCTCTTTTAGATTTCCAGGAAACTAAAGGGGTCACTTTCAAGTTTCTTTCCTTGTTTTCTTTTTTTCAATCCTTGCCCCAGGATATGTTTATTGATTTTAGAGAGAGGAAGGGGAGGGGGAGGGAGAGAGAGAAACATTGATTGGTTGCCTCTTGTACAGGCCCCAACCAGGGTATGTGCCTCGAACCCACAACCTAGTATGTGCCCTGTCTGGCAATCGAACCCATGACCTTTTAGTTTACAGGACGATGATCCAACCAACTGAGCCACACCAGCCAGGGCCCTTTCCTTCTTAACACACTTTAATCCTGATGTTCATTCTTCTGACTTCATTTCTATCGTATTTAAAGGTCATATTTCTTCAGGGTGCTCACAACCTCTATGTATAAATGCTATGAACAAGCCCAGCATGCCCAGTGGATGTCATACTCTCTAGATCCCGGTAAGAGATCTTGTGTTCGCTCTTCTGACTAACAGATTCTGAACAAGAAGACTCCCCCTGTAATGTTCATGATAGCCAAGGCTGCTTGTCTGAAATTTGGCAGTTCCCAAGTACATCCTACCTTTGAAACTGCGTTCCAATATGAATGCCACTAGAAAGTAGTTCTCATCCAGGAGTTGTAGTGGCAGTGCAACATCTTACACAACAGCTCCTTGGGAATTCTGCTCTCTCAAGGGCCTCACTTGAGACTCCTCAATGGAGTCTGTTTTCTTAAGTCTCACTTTAGTGGCAGAAAGCTAAGTTTGGGCAATAGAGGTGATCTTGTTCAACCGAGTTGCAAAACCCATTCTCAGCATAAATGGTCCAAATTCAGAGGAAATCTTAAGGGAAACTTTAAATAGTTTTAATTAAAAAAAAAATACTCTTTTACTGAGTTCAAAAATAATTAAGTTAATAAAACAGGTTGTTTCTTTTTAACTTATTTTAAAGGAATTTTAAAAGGTAATTTCATCTGTAGCTCATTATTATTTCAACAAACATACTGTGAATTAGTTTTCCATTAGTGTTATTATTAGAAAGTCCTTTTGTCAAGGATACTCACATAACACAGGTCCTGCCTCTCTCCTGGGAGGGACCCTGAAGGTTGGAACCGGCTGCTACTTCCCACACTGCCACTCTCGGTGACTCCAGAAGGATTTAAGCCTGAGGGAAATGAGAGAAAGGGGTCAATTAGAGAACACAGGAGCAGCAGATTCTAAATCAGGTCACATGCATGAGCTCCCAGGTGGAAATCAGGGGAAGAATTTATGTCCTCCTCCCCCCTTATTTTCCCCACAAGCTTAAGATGTCAGATGTCTCAACATTTTTATATCCAAAATATCTTCTGAGATTTCATTTGATTGGAATGATTTTCATGTTGTTATTGTTTTTTCTTTTGTTTTTAGGAAATACTAATCAGTTTGCTTTTCAAATTTAATACCAATGTTAAACATATATTTTCATAAATTTTATAAATGTTAACATAATTTCCTAAGTTCTAGATCAAATGTTTCTCTACTTGTGAATGGGCTCTGTCACCAATTTGTGGAGATTTCCTATTTGTAACAAACCTGACTAAACATAAGAATGATAACATATACCTTTACAAATAAAACATGCACACATATATAGAGAGAGTATCACATAAAAATATAACAGGACATGTTTTCTAGAAATCTGGACACTGTCTGAATGGCTTACCTATCTCTAATACAAGGTCTGCTTTGGGAGGTTCCAGGGGCTGTCTCAGTGAGACCGGTGGTCTCCAGAGCAACGTAAACCAGGGTTCAACAAGAGGTCTGAGTAATAGGCCATCAGGAGAGAAAACAAAACAAAACAAAATGCCTATGTTTCTACATACAAGAAAACAAACAGTGGTTTTAGAGTTGGGCCCCAAATTGAAAGTCATAAGGGCAACCTGTGCAATTGCAGGCCTTGGTTTGCAACTCAACTGCTTCTCAAATGGGCAGCTCCCTGTAATAGACACCAGGATGAATAGCAGCAGGTATTTTAAAATTTAATGATATTTGCCTGGATGGTGTGGCTCAGTGGACTGAACATCAAACCATGGACTGAGAGGTCCTGGTTTGATTCCTAGTCAGGGCACATGCTGGGGTTGCAGGCCTGATCCCCAGTAGGGGGCATGCAGGAGGCAGCTGACCAATATTTCTCTCTCACATTGATGTTTCTATCTCTCCCTCCCTCTCTCTCTCTTTCTCAAAATAAATAAATAAATAACGATAATAATAATTAAAAATAAATAAATAAAATTTAACAATATTCAACAATTCTTCCTTGAAATGATGGGAAGCCCAACTAGTAATAAATAAATGTTTGACATGCAACAAAGGACTAGGAAGCCAAGATCCAAATGTGCTTTTGAGAGGCAATTTTTCCTAAGCAGCTAGAAACATGATCTAGAGGCACTGGAGGTTACCAAAGAGCTGTTGTGTACCACGTGAAGCAGACATGCAGAAACACAGTCCCATGTTATTGTATGAATTTCAATACTGCTGAATATAAAAATGAATCCACTATTTTGCATAGCTATGGATTAAATAAAGGAAAAAATGAACAGTGCAATAAAGGAAACAAAAGAGAAACAGACACACAGGGAAATAAGAGTAAAACAAGAGGAAAAGAGACAAATCCATTTACAGGAAAGTCAATTTGTGTTAGCACTATACTTCTGGCCTAGGTTGACATGGAGTAAACAAGACAGACAGCTCTTAAGATGGCGTAAAAGCTGAATAGTCTCCATTTTCCTTCTCATACTCATATATTTCTACACATTTAAGTCATACATAAAAATTAACCCTATCTGTGACATAATCTTTAGTAAGTATCACAAGGAAGTTATTTATAAATCTGCAAAGCTAAATGTAGAGTTAATTGTATGTATGCCTCTCATCTCATTCCATGCCACTTTTTCCAGCTCCAATAGAAGGGAGACCAGAGACTCAATCTCCCTCAGTGCTGGTAACTGCTTCTGATTTTGCTGGTCTTCCCATTTCTCTAGGTACCTCCTTATTGGAGTGTGCATGAATGGCTTTCCATAAAACAGCTGTCATGAGGGGCCTTCCACTCACCTCCATTCTTCCTGAGATGCTCTTCCTTTGACTTCCATGACAATACTCTCCTAATTTTTCCACTACTTCTTGTGCTCTACTTATCCCTTAAACACCATTACGTTCTAAGATTCTGGTCTTAGCACTATTCCCTTCTCACTCTATAATTCATTCTAAGAGGCACGATGGTGAAGAACCTAGACACTAGAACCACTTTTCAGGGTCTTGCCACTTCCTGGCTCTGTGTGTGTGAGATCTTGGGCAGGTTACCCAATGCCTCCTGGGGTTTCCTCATTTATAAAGTGAGACTAATAGTTGTAACAACTTCATAGGATCATAAGAAGGAGTAAATAAATTCAGAGCTCAGTAACTTTTAAGTTGTTCAGCCATGGCTTCCACTATCATGTAGTTGAATAACTCGGTTAGTTATTTAGTTGATTAGTGGATTAACTCTAACTCTCTAGCCCATACTTTTTTCTGAGCTCCACGTCCATTTAACCAACTGCCTACTAAACATTTCCAATTGCATCTAGGGCTCCTTAAATTCAACATTTACTCACTAACTCATTGCTGTCTCTCCTCCTGTTCCAGCCAAATCTATTCTTTTTGAAATTTTTCTCCAAGATGAAGAACAGTATCATTTATCCAAAGCTCCAAACTTTTGAAATTGAATAAAGTCTCCTACCCTTCTCTCAACTACCTCTACTCTGTGCATGAAAACCTAACTGGTCACCAGATCTTTTCAGTTTTGCTTCCTAACTAGCTTCTCTCCTACATTACTGCAAGAGCTCCTGGTTTCCCTGTCTCTGGTCTCTCTCCCCCCACACCACTCTTCTTTCACACTGCAGTCACGGGTTCAACCTTTTAAATATTTTTTATCATCCTTCCATTCTCCTCCAGAATAAAACCCAACATTTTTAGCATAGTGTATGAGGTACTTCAACGACTTGCTCTCTCTATCCCTCTAACTGTATCTTCCACCTCGCCAGTTCCAGGACACAAAACTACCTATAATCCCCAAACTTGTGACCCTCTCTTTCACCTTCATGCCTTTGTAAACACAATCTAGGATGACCTTCCCTCCACTTTCTGTCTAGATAATCCCTGTTCTATCATAACATTTCCAACTCCAGCAACACTATTCCAAATTGAATTTTTAAAAAACACAACTGAAGGATAGTTAACAGATGCTATAGTTTCAGTACAGTTTGCTCAGCACAGAGTGAAATTCCTTTTGTGACTTTATTTCTAAGACATAGAATAGATTTCTTTTCTGGTAATGAGAGTTGGAACATATCTTCAGCCAAAATGTTATAAGAAGGGATCTAGATGGTGAAGAAAACAGACAAGACACAAAGAAACTATGAAAGAGGTAGAGGTGTTCAGCTATATTCCTAAATCACATTAGCCATTTCTCCTCCACCTCTTTCTCCCTCTGCTTGCCTCTCTCCCTAGCTCTCTGTCTCTCTGTCCCTATCTCTGAGTCTCTGTCTGTCTCTCTCTCTCACACACATGCAAGCATGTGCACACACATTTCTCAAGGTAATAATCACTCGCTGTGTTCTTTTTAAATCCCTCAGGTTTTACATTTTATTGCTCCGAGTCTGCCTCCCTGAGGTTCTTGTATAGACTCGTTATTTCCCTCTGTAAAGAAGCTGTTTAGTTCATCTTCGCCTGGCGTGTAAGAACCCAAGGGAGGCAGTTCTTGCAGCCCAGTCTTCCACTCCCCTCCTCGCGAGTCTTGGCTGGAGAGCAAGTCTGTCAATCCCAGGCGAGAGAAAAGGCAGACAAAGGTTCATTTGTAAAGAACCTCCTTCCAGCACCTCCTCTCTTCTCCTTCTGCCCAAACTCACCCAGTGAGTTGGAGCATTTTAAAAGAGTCCTCTGCCAAGAAGACCAAAAGGAAAGAAGAAGAGGGTATGTAATTTTTTTTCTTAAAAATTATTTTATGTCATTTTTTGTACTTCAAACTACTGCTATAGATTAGAGCAGAAATGTATTTATGTGTTGAGTCAGAAGAGAAAGACAGAGAGAGAACCTCTAAAGAGATGACATATGTACTTTGAAAAAGGAAAATAATCAGATTAAAGAGAATAAAAAATGTACATTCCTTAACTGGGAAAGTCACTTAATCATAGGTTTAAAGGAGGCAGCTGCCTCTCTGTTATTTCTTATTAATGTATATGTCCACTCTGAATTTGGTTCCATATAATAGAACCATAGTATTCCACCTCTCAGAACTATGTGAGGATAATGAAGTATGTAAAATTTTTTAATGCAGTAGCTATATCTCTATATTACCTACTCAAGCATGAACTGCAAGGTCTAGGAAAGCAAATGTTTTTTGCTTTTTAAAAATTCTGATTCCTAAAAAGAAACTAGTATAAATGTGTGATACAAAGAGGGAATTCACTGAATTCATCCATGGTGTCCTCACCATGGAGCACAACACAGTGTCTGTGCTACTAAGAGAAAGGGAACCTTTTTTCCCTTTGGGAACCTATAAAAATTCCCCTTTAAAATTCCTTCACTTAGTAATATAGTCTATGGAAAGCTCTCCCAAATGCTGGTCCTTTTCTCCATGATGATGATCTACTGGGGCCAGGAAAACAATTAGAATGATGCAAGACTGGATATTAATATCATCTTCTAGCATTCTCTGAGAAGCCTGAAGGCAGGTCACTTTCAGGAGGATATGGACTTTGTGTTTTCTCTGATGAATGTCTTTTGGTTATTTGGGCTAATTGTGTCTGTTTTAATGATGTTTAAAAGGCTTTTCCACTTTCTAACACCACTTTGATTCCTTTAACATGCCCTTTGAGAAGTTTCACCTCAGGACTCAGTCATTCTAACACAAACCTCTTCTATCACAGTTAATAGGAAAGAGAGAGAATTTTTTAAATATCAGTGATTTTCATCCTCCAAGAAAGATGATGGAAAACATGACAGACTGGACAGCAATTTTAATCTCTTCCAACTATAATTTTGATATTTTAAATGTCAGGTTCTGGCTGTAATTTTCATTTGCTTTTGTAGCTTTTGCTTCTCTCTTGCTGTGTTTTGGAAGAAATCTGAAAGTGGACTGCCCTTTCTGTCTAATTCATCAACTCTGTTTCATTCCACTATTTTTAATACCAGTTCCTAGAACTGACATCAGCTGCCTATATGAGCATTGCACCATAAATGTCTCAACACTATAACTACATAGCCATGTTAGTTTTGGCCATTAAATGGGATAATTTTTCTAAGTCTCCATCTAACTCCAACATTCAAAAGCTTGCTAGTGCCAAATACCCCGACACAATCAAGATTTGCAATTCCCTACATGTATGGTGGCAATGATTTGTTGCTTAATTGGAAACATTTTGCCTAGAAGTCTTTATGTTCTGCACCCACCTTTTAAATATTATGCCATCAATATTATGTCAATAAATTAAATATTGGTATAGGAATAGTATCATACATTAAGAACAATAAAAATTACATAAAATTGTGTCCCAAAACACAATAGAAAACTATTTGAGGACCTCTTGCTATTTCTTCAGATATTCAGCTTTTTGCTTTGTTTTATTTTGTAATTTGGATGTACTCCAGTAGGAATTTTATGTGCATGTACTTCAAGTGAAAGAAAAAAAATTAGAGCAATCTGCTTCAAACTTGCCAAAGTCATTTCATCATGTTGGAACTTGAAAATATACAGTCTTGATGGATTGCCAAGGATTAAGGTTGGTGTCTTCTACTGAAAAAACTAATCAATGCATCACAGGAACATACTGGCTCAGACATTGTTCCACTTGCTAAATAAGAGTTAAAGCTATTTATCTGCACTTAAGTAAAGGAAGAAAATAAGACTTCAGTTCAAACATGTAATTTCTAAAGTGTTAAAAAAAATACCAATAAGCGCTTGCCAGATGTGGAACTTTCCATCGTAGTATGTGACTGAGACTGTGACAGAAACACTATTTTATGCTCTGGCATGAACGTAGTCAGAAGAGGTGTGTGGTATGGCAACATACGGACTTACTTTTCCTGCAATTTATTTTTCATTCCTTCAGTGAATGTTTTTTGAATACTTACTGTGAGTCCAGCATTGAAGCAGGCACTCTAAGCGAGAGGCAAAAAAAAGTAGAAGTCACAGTCTTTGCCTTTATGATGCTGGCGTTTTCTCTTCCAGTCCTTTGAATGTTGCCTCATCCTAGGTCAGTCCTTTGCCTCTTCTCTTCTGAATCTATACTCACTACTCTGCCAGTCTCATAGCTATAAATACTATCAATAAATATCCTGATGACTCTCAAGTTTGTATTTCCAGCCCTGACCTTCAGACTCATATTCAACTGCCTACTTAACACTTAGATGTCTAGTAGGCATCTCAAACTTAACTTGTCCAAATATTTACTCTTGCATTCCCCCCAAATTGACTCCATTCAATTGTTTCTCAGCTCAATCATCATCAGTAGCATTCAGGTAAAAAAAAAACAAAAAACTATGAATCATTTTTTATTCTTTCCCTATTGCATCATATTGTCTATCAAGTTTCACCAATAGCCTCTTTTTTCTACTTACAGTCTTGTCTCACTACAAAACATCTTCATAGAGCTAAAAAAAAAATTATTTTTAAGACATAAATCAGATCATGTTACCTTTCTACCAAAATCTCCCAATGGTTTCCCAATACACTCAATAAAATTTAAAGCCTTTATCATGTCCTATAATGCCCTTTATGATCTTTCCAGATCTTCCTTCCTGGTTCTAGATAAATTCATAAAACAACCAATTCAATAAATGGCCAAATGGCTTTCAGCGGATTTCCCACTCCCAACTGTAGCCATATTCCCCATATGGTTAACTGGCAATGACAAGGAGCTATTTAGTCAAGTTCACAGTTTTTGCTGCACAGTTATACATAAGTGCAATGGAAACAGAAAGTAAGAGAGTTGTGCAAATGATATGGGCTGGATCAAGGAAGACTTCTTAGGAAAGATGAGTTTGAGGTTTGTTCTTAATAGATGGTTTGATAAGAAATTAACATAAAGAGAAGAGGTTAGAGGGAGCAATAAGAAAAAGACATGTATAGGATTGAAGAGGTGATGGGTCTGACTGCCTACTAACTGTAAATAATGAATGATTTGTGTGGAGAAGTGGAAGGAAGACCTGAGGATTAGCCGTAAGAAGTTCACAGTCTTTTAGACAACATGACATTTCCATAAGCTTTTGCTCAGTAATAAAAATATGTTTTCAGAGAAGCATTCATTAATACTACAAATGTGGGCCAAGCATGTATTAGCCATTGGGTATGTGGTGATTAAAAAAAAAAAAGACTGCCCTAGTGATGCTTTCTGTTGAATGGGAATGATAGATATAAAATGAGTAAACTCAGATATATCATTAAAATTGTGATAAATATCATTAGGGAAAAGAAGTGGACACTATGAAAGAGTCAGATTGAAACTACTTCAGATTGGATGTTCAGGAGAGGCTTCTGAAGAAATGACATTTAAACTGAAACCTAGCCCTGGCCGGTTTGGCTCAGCAATTAGAGCGTCAGCCTGCGGTCCAGAGAGACCCAGGTTCGGTTCCCGCTAAGGATGCATACCTCGGTTGCAGTTTGTCCCTGGCCCTGGTTGGTCGTGCGGGTGGCAGCCACTCGATGTGTCCCTTTCATGTCGATGTTTCTCTCTCTCTCTCTCTCTCTCTTTCTCTCTCTCTCTCTCCCTCCCTCCCACTCTATCTGAACAAAAAAATGAAAAATGTCCTTAGGTGAGGATAAATAACTAAATAAATAAACTGAAACCTAATAGTCAAGAAGAAGCCAGCCAAGTAAAAAGTATTTCTCACAGAGATGGCAGCTTATAGAAAGATCCTAATAAAGGAAGAAAAATTTTCTTTTAATTATAAGAAAATAAATACTTTATTGCAAGATTTTTAAATGGGTGATGTGGGCTATTTCCTAAAAAAATATAATTGTCAAAATTAACTCAAGACTTAATGGGAGGTCAAAATGGCAGCGTAGGTAAATGCAGTATCACCTCCTTCCACAACCACATCAAAATTACAACTAAACTACATAACAACCATCATTCAGAACTTCCTGAAATCTGGCTGAATGGAAGTCCCGCAACTAGGGAATTAAAGAAGCAGCCACATCAAGACTGGTAGGAGGGGCAGAGGCTCAGACAGCTGGTCCCCACCCACATGTGGAGGATAAAAATCAGGAGGATTGCCCTGGCTGGTTTTGCTCAGTGGTTAGAGTGTCAGCCCGTGGACCAGAGAATTCTAGGTTCAGGGCACATACCTCGGTTACGGTTCGTCCCCGGCTCGGTTGGGGTTGTGTGCGTGGCAGCCAGTTGATGTGTCTCTCTCTCACATCAATGTTTGTCTCTTTCTCTCTTCCTCCTTCTCTTCCTCCCCCTCTATCTGAAGATAAGTGCAAAAGTGTCCTCGGGTGGGGATTTAAAAAAAATCAGGAGGATACCTCAGCTGGGAAAGTCCTTCTTGAGGAGTGAGGCATTCCAGCCCCACACTAGACCCTTCAGCCCAGGGATCCAGTGCCAGGAAGAGAAGTCCCCATGTATTTGGGCTGTAAAGACCAGCAGGGATTGTGGCTGAGTGACATGGAGGCTTCTAGAGTCCCAGGCAGTTACTCTTAAAGGGCCCAAGCATGGATTTCCATGGACTCATACCCTCTGAACTCTAGTGTTGGGGCAGCAGCTTGAAATAAACCAAGAACGTATGGGGAGGAACTAACTTCTCTGACATCAGGGCAAGAGTGGGGTGGGGGTAGGGGACACAGATTTCTCCCAGAAAATAGTGCTGGCAGAGGCCATTGTTCCTTGGCTGAGCCCTCCCCACCACAGAGCCCACAGGCAGGCACCATATCTGAGTCTCCATCAACTTGGCTTACATTCTTCACCTGCCCC